ACTAGGACATTGTTGATGAGTTCAAAGAAATGCATAGCCACATGGATCGCCATCTTAACGAAATTGTATTCACCAAGTGCAACGACAAATCCTGCTGTAAGGAATTTCAATGTAAAGCCGCTGAAGATTTTTTGGGACGAGAGAAAGTTTCCATCACCATCCCACAACCCAGTATACCAGGGCCACTTCAACACCTTCCTGCAGGAAGCAGCCAATGAGAAGCAGCGGTTTGGTGATACTGGGCAACCCAGTGCTGATGAGAAGGCTCTCAGTACCTGCCAGCACTGCCCAGCCTTTTCTTTCAAATCAAAAACCGAAAAAGAGAGGCACCAAAAAATGTTCCATCGCCGCCAAAAGGCAACAGCCAATAACGGTCGACTGATCTATTGTCAATTTGAAGGATGTGGAAAAAGCTTCAGATCCCAACCAGCTCTCAGTCGACATCAATCAAAAGAGAAGCATCGAGCCAGAGATAAATTAAACCTTTTGGCAACAGAAACCAGGGCACCCAAACCGAAGAAGCACCAATCATCAATATCTGACATGTTAAGACAGGTCACCAGTAAGACTGCACAAGAGAAGAGCAAAGTTGATGAGCCCTGTGCATCCGAGGAATGTAAAGTCCACTCAGTAAACGCAAGACGATTACGGTGGGTGCAGTGTGATGCATGCGATTTATGGTACCATGATTACTGCGTAGATCTTCACGAACTTACAGACGATGTACTAGATAACCTAGAGTTTATTTGTCAGTCATGCAAATAATCAGACATATGGTATCACAAAATCATTACATATTTGATATTAAATGTTAACATCTTACTCTGATTAACACATTTTTTAATACATTATACATCGGCCTGATTCGTCTGTTGCTACAGTATGTAAAATAGCCTCTAAGTTAAATTCTTTCCTGGCCGTATAGAAGTTTGTTTTATCATATTATGTAAAACAAGAGTTATGAATAAATGTGCTGAATAAAAACCGTATACTTGAACTAAGAAAGTGTGTTTTAAATCACAATGGGGAGAATTTACTGGCAACTCTTTCTTGGGCTAGCCGCGGATTGAATGGAGAACGAAAGCCAAGCAAGATGGGAAAATTAATAAATTATGACGATGTGTTGATGTATTCGGAGTAATGAGAGGTAATATTAAAACAGAACAACAACGTGGAAAGCAAGACCCTCTACAGTGTATATATGACTCATTCTTTGTATTGTATACTCACTCGCTCGTTCGTATGTTAAAATTTAAACACTGACTCAACAACACAAACAACTCTTAGTCGTAAAAATTTATAAATAGAAGTACAGTACCATACCACGAAGTATTCTATATAAATGTGGGGATTTTATATGAGTGTATATCTGCATGCCACGGTCGATGTTATCCCTATTTCGAAGCAAAACGTCAATTCAACGTTATGCGTGGCAACATGAATATGGACGTGGCCCCTTACTTTTAGGGACAATTCTATAGAGCCTAATTCGAGGTAGCGCTCTATGGGTCCTGAAATGCAGACGTTCTACATAGGATATAGTAAACGACGTTTTGCCGTTGTAAACAGAACGTAGATCAGGTCTAAAACTCCCTTAGGTATTTAATAATTAATTTCTTTTCAATGAAGCATTGTATTGATAGCTGCCGTTGTCCTGTTCCCGTCCTACATGCTTAAGTTAAGGTCCCTACTGTTTGGACTGCGGTAAAACATATTCATAATAATAAAACTTTATAAAATATTGAACATTTCGAAGTTTGCCCAATAAATTATACTACACTTCTCGCTTGTTGACATTTTAATTTACAAATTTAAGGAGAAACATTTTTGGAAGAAACTGCGAAAACTTTTTTAAAGCATTTATAAATTTACCAATTTTTGCAACGCTGATGGCTGATGCGCTTTACCTTCAAGAAATAATGAAAATATTATATTTTTTCTTATATTTTAGATTAAAAGAAGTTTTGAAAAAAAGCTAAAACATGTAAGTTTGTTTATATTACAACAGATATATTTTTTTCAAAACTAATATTTGTATTTTATGATTTTTGCCTCGAGTACGCTATATGGTGCTGTTGTTTTTACATACTTTTTTTGCTCAATATTTTTTTTATGTTGATGGCATTTCTATATATACTCTAAAGATCTAAAGGAGACGAAGTAAGATGCAAAATTATTTCAACAAAGCACTTTTTTCATGATGTTGGTAGTGCAATTATTGTAATAATACATCTACTTTACCAACTATTTTAGTGGAGAATGAGGATGAACTCATACTTGGTATGTATATAGGCACATATTTATATAACTTTCACTCTGAATGTACAAATTAGCAACTGATTAAAATGTCGTTGATCATTTCCAATGTTCAAAAATCCAATTTAACAATTATTTGTTGGATTTTAGACATTCATATTGATAATGATGATGGTAAATATGATTAAAAAAACTAGTTGAAATATTATTTTTGTCACAGTTAGGTAATTTGTATGTCTTTTCACATAGCACTAAAAGGATAACACATGCAAATTTTCCTTCACTATACAAATACTTGAAGCAGTCCCTGACCTGGGCCAGGGGCCAAATGAGCAACCCAGTAAGTTTCATGACTGATGTGACTTATTGATGCATACTTTCCCCTGCACAACTGAAATACTTTCATTTAATCTAGTGAACCCTCCACCTCAAGAAAGGCCTGGTATGCGCTTATTGAATATGAACAAAAATGATATGTTCTTTGAAATTTTGTATATACTGCCTATATTGTTTAACGTTTTATGATTATAAATGTATAGTGAAGCAATTGCATCTTGATATATATTGAAATAAGCTAACTTATTATATTTTCAATTCTCAAGCCTTGCAAGTTAATGCAAACCTTGATGGTATAAATCAGCTACTTTGTTCAATATCATTTAGTTTATGTATTAATTAGTGATGATGATGCATGTTCAAGTTTTTCGTCATCAATTTAAAACTCTAAAATTAAAAAACTTGCCTTCTATCATTACATGGATTTATGCAATATGTCAACCAAATTTGTTTTATTTTTTTTATTTTAGATAATGACCCACGCCCTGGGCGGTTTCGGGGGGCAGGCAGAGGTACTGTATGATTCATTATATCCACAACAATTGTTTCCGGTTTTTATCATTGGATGCTACTCAACAAATATTGCATTATGAGGATGCTCAATATGACATTTTGTCTTTTTAGTGTTACATGGACAAGTTAGACAGGGGCGGATCTAGGATTTTTCAAACATGAGTCCAGATTTCAAATTTTCGACATTTTTTTGAATCGCTGCAAGAAAGCAAATTTTGACTGTTTCGCCCCATATCAGGGCTCATCAGCATGCCTAGGAAACACATTCCACTTTTACTTATGACTTTTTTAAAGTGATCAGTAACAATGTCATTACGTGATTCCGACATGGACAGCCAGTCTGGTTAAGGCGCCAGACACTCACCTTCACACCTCTGCCGGTTGCAAAGGAGTTTGGTTAAAAAAGGGTGACCATTTGGGACATTTTGTGGATGTGAAATTGCTCAGGTTTCACACCATCCCGGTCGATTCTAACCCTTTACCCCCCAACTAATAAGCAGTCTGGTTAAGGCGCCAGACACTCGCCTTCACACCTCTGCCGGTTGCAAAGGAGTTTGGTTAGAAATGGGTGACCATTTGGGACATTTCGTGGATGTGAAATTGCTCAGGTTTCACACCATCCCGGTCGATTCTAACCCTTTACCCCCCAACTAGTCACGGAGTGTTGAAACATAATTATATGCATGTTTAAATATTTGTTATTGTAATGATGGTAATAATGGTATTAATGTAAAGGTGCTGGTGTTCGATATAATTGTTAACTGCTTGTAAAAGTTTTGTTAAATGTTTCATGACAATCCTAATGGAAAGTTTTAGTTATAAGAAAAGATAGCAGAAAAGATTTATATAAATAAATATAATCGTTATATATCTTGTTAAATGTTTCATGAGGACGGTGGCGTGCAAAAAACGGTTCTATATAATTGTTAAAATGTGTTATATAATATATATCTTATTAAATGTTTCATGAGGACAGTGGCATGCAAAAAAACAGTTCTGTATAATTGTTAAAATTTGTTATATAGTATATATCTTGTTAAATGCTTCATGAGGACAGTGGCGTGCAAAAAAACGGTTCTATATAACTGTTATAATTTGTTATATAGATACTTTAAATGTTTCATGAGGACGGTGGCGTGCAAAAAAACGGTTCTGTATAACTGTTATAATTTGTTATATAATATATATCTTGTTATTTGTTAAATGTTTCATGAGGACAGTGGCGTGCAAAAAAACGGTTCTATATAACTGTTATAATTTGTTATATTTCAGACCCTACGAGATATACGTAGAGCATGGAGCATGTTTCATGAGGACAGTGACATGCAAAAAAACAGTTCTGTATAATTGTTAAAATTTGTTATATAGTATATATCTTGTTAAATGCTTCATGAGGACAGTGGTATGCTTGTTAAAAAGGGACAAAACATCAAGATGCGATAGATACATATCAAGTGTCATATATGTATACCAAGATGCGGTATATACATACCAAGATTTAAATATATATATCAAAAATTTAAAATATAATCAAGATTCAATATTATATCAAGATTTAAAGATATATATCAAGATTTAAATATATATATCAAGATTTAAAGATATATATCAAGATTTAAATATATATATCAAGATTTAAATATATATATCAAGATTTAAATATATATATCAAGATTTAAATATATATATCAAGATTTAAATATATATATCAAGATTTAAATATATATATCAAGATTTGAATATATGTATCAAGATTTAAATATATATATCAAGATTCATATATGCTTTAATGAAGTACTCCATAGCCCGCTCAGTGTCACCGCTGACCAAATATATGTTCAACGTGGACCAGTGAAATACTGTCAAAATACTGTCTCGTGCGCGTGTATGTAAATATGGCGGGCAGGCAATCATCTTCTGCAAACCCATCTGGTAATTTAGATAATACCGTAGAACTAAATGAGTCAACTCTAACAGAAATTGTTAGAAGGGTTTATGACTCAGTGCAGTCAGTAAGTGAAGAAAGGCCGAGTCCGGAGAATCGTTCTACAAATGCCTCAGTTGAAGACGAACTTGCGCAAAGATTTAATAGTTTACCACGCCGTGGAAGTGAGCAAAGACCGCAACTGCCGAAAGCAGACATTAGAACTTTTACGAACACGAGGCCTAGATTCAATCCACAGGTCAACTACGGACACAGTGGGGTAACGAGAGGAAAGGGAAAAGGCAAAGTAAAGACTACAAAGTCTACAAAGGCCAAAGAGGCAGTTAATATTAGGAAGGAGTTAATTTTGCTCCCATATCCGACCTACACGCAAGTCCCCCGCTATGAGCATAAGCGGAAACTTCAAGAGCTTGGCCTGATTGTTGATGGATTTCCCTTAGATAAATCATGGAATGAGAACCAACTACGGCTGAAGGTATTTTTGTTTAATCAATGAAATTGTCATACAAATTGGGCTATTACATTTATTATATAAACTCCCCCCCCGTCGAGGACCTCGTGTTTTCAGGATTTTTACCCCTCTGGAATGCAAAAAAACCTAAGATTCTACCCCTGGAAGAATCTTTAACCCCTCTTGAAAAGCTTTTCCATACTTTAATCCTTCTGGAAACAACCTTTTTTGTTGATTACCTATCTAGAAAATATGACTTATTTACCCTTTGGAAATCGAGGTCCTCGACCAGGGGGGTGGTGGTGTTAAGTGTAATAGCCCAAGAGCATGAAACATAGATTCATAGTCATACAATATTTTTATCAGTTTCTCCATTGTCTTTTTGCTGAAGTTCTTGTATATGTGTAATATTAAAATAAATCACATTGCAACATCATGTCTTACTAGTACTACATCCATTCCTTTGTCTTATTTCATTTTACTTTAATTCTTTCCCATATGTTAATTTGTTCTTTACTTTAATTCTTTTCCATATGTTACTATCTTAATTTGTTCTTGTAGATTGGTGGTGCTTTTGTGCAAAAATTAGTGGATGAACAGGGTGAATTTGTTGCCTTTGAATATGTAAAAAGCATTGGCCAAAATATTTGCCCCTTAAATCTATATGCCAATAAGGAGCCTTCAGGAGAAAATATCTACAGCATGTGCAAGCAAGGGCCTATTTATATACGGGCATGCACAATGTTGAAGGTGTGGGCACTTGATGAAATGCTTGAGTCAGATGGAGCATCTGAGACTGGAATGGAAGATGAAGCTACCAGTAGTCAAATCTCTAGTAGTCGTAGCCAGTTTTCTGGAATAAAAAGATCCAAACAGTCAACTCTAAGTGTAAGTGAGAAAAGAAAGTGTGTACACTTCAATGCAGAAGAAAGGCTTACAAGTGGCAGTCAGTCACCTGAGAATGATGTTGCTGGAGATGAAATCACCATTGTAAGTTTTTTTGTGGCAAAATATAAATAACTTATGTAATAACAATGTATTTAGTATAATAAATGCATGCAAACACAGTGTAAGTTTCATTTATGAAGTTACTTTCACAGCAGAAAATTCATATTGAGCTTTAACTGTTTCATTGATACTAATTCTTAACGTATATAAGTACTTTTTAAACTACTGTACATAATTTGTTAATTTGTATTTGGAATGTCCCTTAAACCATTGTGACCAAAGTGATTATTGTGTTGGAAGGTCCCAATAGCAATGCCTTATGTTGTGATCTTTATTTACCTAGGATTGTGATGTAATTGGCACTTCCAATAGTACCTCTTCACCTACAGTTAGGTATGTGCAGGGTGAAGCAACATGTACTGGCATAAGATTTAAAGTTAAGACTAAAAATAGACAACCGATTATTCAACATATCATATAATATAAGTATAACAGTTTCACTTCCTTCAATTAACCATGCATCTTAAACACATCATTACAGAAGATTGTGAATTTCTATGTTTCAGAGAGGATATGAAATTCTAATTTTTTCACGTAAATGTAATTTCACCAAGTGGAATATACATCTCAGCCATGGTATTGATATAATGTAATGTGTAGTCCGTCATAACGATTGTCATAACACAAGCTTGTTTTATTATTATAAAAGTTTATGCAGAAGTAGCTATATACCTCGTTTAGCTAGCGTGTATATTTTTTGGATTTGAGAGCTACTACTGTAAATACGACAGTGCTGTGGCCCACGGTGTTTATACAAAAATATATAAATCTAGTGCGGATGTCTGAAACATGTATATAGAATTATTGTCCAATATTTATATTGTTTGAGGCAAATTATTTCCAATCCCACTGAGTTGATTCTATAAATCTTACATAATTAATTACGAATTTAGCCAAAATAATTCTGGACTTAAGAAAGTATTCGTTTTCTATGTGATCTATCATATAATTTACGGATTCTTTTCTCTTTACGATTATTGTAGCCAAGCAGGCAATAAACCATCTGATAAGACTGCCTGTGATTTGGATGAAATTTACGCCACCTTGCTTTTCGACGAAATAAATTCCGACGTGCTTGACGATGATCCTCTCGTTTTGAAAGATATAGTGGAGACTAATGCCGATGACATTGACGACAACATTGAAGAGAGCATTACATTAAAAGAAGTACTGACAGATCTTGGAAAAGCAACCTCTTATGATCAAGTCTCGATGTTTAACCTAAGTCGAAATCATATATGGGAGGGAACGAAAAGAGCGCTTAATAGGAAGTCATTTAGTCCTGAAAATAAGCTTTCCGTAAAGTTTACGGACGATATTGGCCGGTCAGAAGGCGCGGTAGACCTGGGAGGGCCAGCAAGGGAATTCTTCACCCTAATTACAGAATGGCTGGTTAATTCGCGACTTTTCTTCGGAGAAACAACGACGAAGTTCCTTTCATTGAACGCAATCTGCTTGGAAGAACGAGAGTACTTCATGACCGGGCAAATCTTCGCGATGTCGTTGGTACATGGTGGTCCCGGTGCCAATTGTCTATCAAGTGCATGCTATGATGCGGTAATAAATGCAACGGGAACGCTTAACCTAAGTGCAACACTTGATGATATTCCTGATGTTGAATTACGAGCATCGCTTGGAAAGTTATTACAAGCTTCTGTAGTAGATGACGCTCGGCGAATAATTGATGACGAAAAGTTAGATACCGTATTTGATATGGCTGGCACATTTCAAATGATCAGAAGCAAGGCCGACGTTGAGAAGGTAGTTCAGCGCACTATCAACTGGTATGTGTTGGGGAGAAGCCAACCAGCATACTCAAGTTTCAAGGAGGGGTTGAAAACCTTAGGTGTACTAGAAGCCATGTTGAAATACCCAAAGTTGTTCAGAGAAGTATTCTGTTACAGATCTCAACCTCTAACCGTTACGACAGTACAGTCTATCTTCAAATTGGTGCTTTCAGAAGAAGGTTCAAATAGAAGAAATGCCGAAAGTCTTATCCTCTCGCATTGGAACGATTTTCTACAAGACGCAGAAGAAGATCAAACGCAAATAAGCTTATCGGAGGTTTTTTTTTTTGCATCTGGTTGTAAAATTCTTCCTGCTCAAGGCTTAATCGGTGAACTTCATTTTTTGCACGAACCTGAAAAGGATGGAAAGCTATCCAAGTTCCCCAAAGCTAACACGTGCGCGTGTATCCTTAAGCTGCCTGTTGTGCATGTTGATTACGAAAGCTTCAAGAATGCAATGCTGTTTGGTTTGAAAAACGCTCGTGGGTTTGGTTGTGCATGAAAGTTGTTGTGGATTCGGTTGTTCCACATTATTAATCACTACGTAAACAGTAACGGCTTAGTTTAAAGTTTATTAACTTTTGCGACATTTTATACACGTCAGAAGACTATTTTTATAGCATAAAATATCTTTAGATGTTCAGATTTGTTAATCGGTTTTGATACACAGATAAAGTTTCTGAAACAATTTCAGCGGAAAACTGCAAGAACATGGACTCCAGGAGAATTGTGCTCAAATTAAAAAGTGAAAAACTTGTTTTTCGTCATCATTTCATGCTTTGTTTTAAAATCTTGAATAAGCAGGATCATTTAGACATCCCCTAATTATTACCCTCCTGAAAAAACTAAAAGAGCCATGTTAATTATATTATATTGTGCAAAGCTTTACCCAAATAAAATTTATCCAAAGTTTAGCTAAACATTGTTTTCAAATTCATTTTCTTGATTACCATAAAGATGTTCCATATAATCAAGAACCGAAAGGTATTTTTGAATGCAATATTCATCGCCATTTGCTGCCTCAAGGATATGTTGCAAATCAGTATCCACTTCTTCAGTGTTTTCTATAGAAGATTCTGGAACAACCACATTGTTGGAAGTTTGAAGTTCTGGTATGTCACCTTCCTCATCTATTCCATAGTCAGACATATCTGGCTGAACATCTCCCAAAACATCTCCAACAGCCCTGTAATTGGTGGCACTATTGGACAACATTCCAGCAATCCACAATTGCCTGGGCGTTTTTTTGCTCTCAGTAGTAAGGCCATGATAGTTCCACTCTCTCGTGAGTTCTTCTAATGAGTTGTTAATTTCTGGCAGGTACACATACTGCAGACAAAATAGGTGAATTTCACTCAAGGGATTAAATAATCCACTTGTTTCTAGGTACATGAATACGTTCTTAAACTTGCTTACTACAGTCCGATTGACCTCCCTCCACAAACGTTCTATTCTTTGATTGTGAACTGACTTGCCAGTTATTATACTACCTCTGTTTAGGCCTCTTTCACGTAACATAAACTTAGCAACCTCAACATTCTCCAAGCCCTGATCTGAACGAACACGGGATGGTAGGTTGTAACGACGAACAGCTTCTTGAAACAGTTCAAGAACAGTACTAGCCTTGTTATTTGTAGAAGCCCTTAGAAATACAATTAGCCGAGAGAACCCATCGATGCCACCATGAATGACAATTCTGTAAGGTTCAATTAATTTATGATCACCATCAATATGCCAGAGGGCATTTGGACAAGGTACAGAATATTTTCGCCTGACAATCTTGAAATTGTGTCTTCTGACTGCTGAGATAACTGGGTTAACTCTAGCAATAGATTCCCGTACACGTTTCTGCTGAATCATTAATTTTTTTGCTCTGAGTCCTCCTTCAACTAAACCAAGTCCTAAAAATAATAAGGAAAATATGGTAAGAAGATGTAACAGTTGTAACAGTATTTTGAAAATCTCTATGTTATATACTGTAAATGTCTTGTCTCTTACTTTGCACCATTTCGTATAGTACAAACGAGCTGGTTTTCCTTAACAAAGTGAGTACCTTGTTCAAAAGCTGTTCTTGCAAGCTTTTCAACAAGGAAAATGTTTGTGTGTAAGGCAATCAAGACAAAATTAATGTTTACTGTACATCACAGACAGAAAGTATACTCCACAAGGAACTTGGTCAACAATAAGTTAAAAATTTTAAGGAAATTTTTTTCTTTTCCTGAAAAGTGAACCTCCCATGTGGAAATCATATGCAATATACCATATACAACACGTAAAAGATGTGAGATTTTTACGTGTGTAGTCACAGAATATACCTGCTTCAGGATTTATTCTTAAAATTCCTCGAACATGCTCATCTAATTCGCCATCTTCAATACATGTATATGCATCAGCACCAATAGGCATATCAAATTCCCTGCGTCGGCGAGTCAATGTTTTGGATGAAATTCCAATAATTTTTGCAATGTCCACCCATTTCATTGATTCTTCACGCAGTTGTTGAACAACAGTTTTGTCAACGGCAAGTCTTGGCCGACAAGCATGCCCTAAATGCTGAGTAGAACAGCTGTGTTGTGGCAGGTGTATTGCTTCCATATCAGGAGACGCCACTGATTCAACATGTCTGGCTTGATACCTTGTTTTTAGAAGACGCACAGAAGTTATGAGCCGTTCCAAATCTTCCAATAACTGATCAGGTGATCTGCCACCAACCCCAAGAGTGGCAACACGACTTGATAATAACCCGAGGGTTCTTTCAAACTCGCTAAGGCGGCATAACAGGCTGTCCACGCGATTTTCTTCATATTCTGCACTTAGTCCTGTGATTCCTTCTCGCACACATCTTAAAAACTCTTCGAAAAACTGTCCAAGATTGTCGACAAAATGCGCCATGCTACTTTTGTTCACCTTCTCTTTTTAGTTTTTATAAATATTTGGTCAGCGGTAACACTAAACGGGCTAGGGAGTACTTCATTAAAGCATATATAAATCTTGATATAAAATAAAAATAACGTATCTTGATACAAATTTACGAATCTAGATATTATAGTTAAGTGTTGATATAAATATATGAATCTTGATATATATATTTAAATCTTGATATATATATTTAAATCTTGATATATATATTTAAATCTTGATATATATATTTAAATCTTGATATATATATTTAAATCTTGATATATATATTTAAATCTTGATATATATATTTAAATCTTGGTATGTATATACCGCATCTTGGTATACATATATGACACTTGATATGTATCTATCGCATCTTGATGTTTTGTCCCTTTTTAACAAGCATACAGTGGCGTGCAAAAAAACGGTTCTATATAACTGTTATAATTTGTTATATAGTATATATCTTATTAAATGTTTCATGAGGACAGTGGCGTGCAAAAAAACGGTTCTATACAATTGTTAAAATTTGTTATATAATATATATCTTGTTATTTGTTAAATGTTTCATGAGGACAGTGGCGTGCAAAAAAACGGTTCTATATAACTGTTATAATTTGTTATATATTATATATCTTATTAAATGTTTCATGAGGACGGTGGCGTGCAAAAAAACGGTTCTATACAATTGTTAAAATTTGTTATATAATATATATCTTGTTATTTGTTAAATGTTTCATGAGGACGGTGGCGTGCAAAAAAAGGTTTTATACAACTGTTAAAATGTGTTATATAATATATATCTTGTTAGATGTTTCATGAGGACGGTGGCGTGCAAAAAACGGTTCTATATATAACTGTTAAAATGTGTTATATAATATATATCTTGTTAGATGTTTCATGAGGACGGTGGCGTGCAAAAAACGGTTCTATATAACTGTTATAATTTGTTATATAGTATATATCTTGTTAAATGTTTCATGAGGACGGTGGCGTGCAAAAAAAAGGTTTAATATAACTGTTAAAATGTGTTATATAATATATATCTTGTTAAATGTTTCATAAGGACGGCGGCGTGCAAAAAAAAGGTTTTATATAACTGTCAAAATGTATTATATAATATATATCTTGTTAAATGTTTCATAAGGACGGTGGCGTGCAAAAAACTGTTCTATATAACTGTTAAAATGTGTTATATAATATATATCTTGTTAAATGTTTCATGAGGACAGTGGCGTGAAATTTTTTTATATAATTGTTATCTACGGTGGCAAATGACGAATTCTTAGTTATGTGTATGTATAATGGGCGATTAAGGTATATTAAGTGAATTTTAAGCGAGTATTCCCCACAGCAAACTTATCAATCACTCTTTCAACATCAGGAACAACTTCACTGTGAATTCCCATCAGTGCCAAGCCATTCAATCGATCTTCCACCATAGTGCTTCTTTGGTAGGTTTTGAGATTTCTCAGGGCGGAAATTGATCGCTCACATTCACAAGAAGTAATTGGCAGTGTGGCTAAAATACGGAGGATAACTTTAATATTCTCAAATCCTTGAAAACGAACACATTTCAAAGTTGAAACAACGTTATCTGGAAGAGGTCCGGGATGTGTTTCCCAGTAGGTAAACCACTGTCTTAACTCAGCATCCAAAGCGAGGGGATTTGGCATGTCATCATGATAGAAAGTTGCAACAATCTTAAACTGCTCTTTCCAATCAACCCCTTTCTTGCTCAGTGACATCATCTTGGCAGGTACAATACTTAAACCTTTGTAAGCATTCACACTATCCAAATCAAATCTAGCATTCAAAGAGGTTTGAAGATGGTCTAATAACGGAATAGTAATGGTTAGCTTGTAATGTTCTGAAAAAGATTGGCTAGGGGGGTTTGATTGGGTAGTTTGCCTTCCAACAACCCTTTGTTTCCCTTCTTGGACTTTGACTTCTTCAGCCAACTTTAATGCTAAATCATACCAAGTATTATGGTAAAAGTCAATGTTTGTCCTCATGTTGGTAACATCATTCTTTAATGTGGTTATCAAATGAAACCCATCCATGATATCAATACTTTTCCCCTGCAACTACTGGGTAACAGGAAGGGTGGCATCAAGGACATTTCAAGTAATAACTAAAGCAACTGTAAAATCAAACTTAGAAATAAGTGTTAGGAAAGATGATGCTTCAGCAGAAACAGAGGGCTTATAATCACCGCTAACATTGTTAACCATGTCCTGTAGTGTATCAATTAGTGGCATAAAAATTTCTTGGAAAGTATCAAGACTTTCAACCCGCTCAACCCATCTAGTTTTACCAAGACTTACAAAGTCTTTTCTTCTTTGTGTTGAGCCCAGAGTCTTCAATGTGATCAGCAAAAGGCATACTACGTCTCTGGGAAATGTTAATAAAATTAGCAACTTGGCCAACATGTATAAGCATCTTGTTAACATCTAGTATAGAAAGGGGGTCACAAACAGATAAATTTAAACGATGGCTATAACAATGTGTATAAAGAGCTTTTGGGTTAACTCTTAAAATATGGGCTGCCAAACCATTAATATGTCCAGCAACAGCCCCTGCTCCATCATAACCTTGTCCCCTGCAATTATCAATTGGCAATGTTAGATCATCTAAGGCTTCTAGAATAAGTTTGGCAAGATTTTGACCACTTAGCTCCCATTTACAATGCAAAAAACAAATGAATTCCTCTCTAACATTCATATCAGCATCAACAAATCTCAAAACAAGTGATAACTGTTCTTTTCTAGAAGAATCAGCAGCTTCATCGGCAATAAAAAACCTACTTTCCTTAATCTCATTGATGATACCTTCAGATATCACCTGTCCAATACATTTGATAATTTTGTTCTGGCTTGTCTTAGATATATAGCTTCTATTTTTGCCACAGCCACGAAGATGATTTTCTAAAGCACTGTCACCAGCCCTCACTCTAAAATTGAGAGATTCAATAAAATTACCAACATTACCATTGGTAGAATAATATCCAACCTCAGGATGATACTTTGAGTCATCACGATGGCCTCGAAGACCAATGCCAAGCCTACCACAAAATAAAACAGAATCTACAATTGGCCTAAGAATTTTCCTGTTCTGCTCAATTTCCTGTTTCACATTAGCATCCATGATGTTTTCAATAGGCTGTGTAACACCTGACATTTGAGAAAGTAAAGAAGTTAGCATTGGATAAGTACATGCATGCAGTCCCATATCCCCTCCAACATTGTTACCAGCATGTCGCTTGAAAGTAGATACAGCATCATTCCACCAATGACGAAAAGGTGTAGAAAATAATCTTGTAATTCGAGGAGTTTTACTAGGAAAACAGTCTCCAAAAAGGACACAGGATAAACAATATGCACCATCTTCTGAAGGCGAATAACATAGCCAGGGGAACATATCAAGCCACTGGTATTTAAAACTTCTTTTATTTTTCTCACTCAAAGAAGGAAAGACATAATACTTGTGTGGCCTAAAAACCACTAATAGAGTACAGATATCAGCAGTACTTAATCCCTTAATCTTTTGTTTATAAGTGGCAATATCAAAATTGCTAATCTTCTTTACCTGAGTATCAGAGGCCTGCAATGGTTTTGTAGAGTCACCTGTAACCTCAGACTCAAGTGCTGCTTTGGAAGAAAAACTTTCATTAGGTGCCCTAGTATCAGTACGAACACTCACCAATGACTTTTCTTGTTTCAAAAAAAACTTTGAAATATCTCCAACAGACGTTTTGGCTAATTTCAGCTTTTTTGGTGGCATGGATTTAACATCAGTTGAAAATTTCCTTTTAATTTTGCTAGAATAAAAAAATAGAGGGGCAAAGTGGTTAGCCTGAAAACTTTCACCAGATTTTACAATACCATCATAGCAAAATAAAATATGGAGAGCATCTGAAGGTAATTTTACAACAATCCTTGGATGAATTATGGAATTAAACATCAACTTATGGCGTATCTCTCCAGAATCTGGGAAGTGTGTTTGAATACATTTTCCTACAACAGAAGAAAGGCCTAAAATACAAAGAAAAGATGACCACTTTCTATCATAGCAGTTACAAAAAGCTTCCTTTTTAACAAGGGCCACTGTCCTCAAACCTGAATCTAAACACTCCTGTGACACAGAAAAAGGCAAAAGATTATTCAAACTGTTGTTGAATTCAGCATGCTTTTCAACTTTGTCAGAAAATATAGGGTGTTGGGCATAATAATCGGCGTTCATAAAAAGTTCAATGGAAGTAAGCTTCCTTAAAATGGATACCAAACTGTTGTCACCTGCCAGAACCAATGACACAGAACTACAGGGTGTATCAAAAAAAATGTCCCAAATGTAAAATTTCCGTTTTTCAGGATATTTTGCAGAATTTGGCAAATTTTTGTGTTCCCAAAGATAGATAAGACTTATCTGGTATACCTAGGCCAAGTTTGGTTTTTCATTAACAAAATTATGTTACCGGGGGGGTGGTTCCTTTCCACTGATATTGAGAGGGCTTGCGCGCGAAAATGTGAAGCTGAAATTGCGATATTATTTAGCTGTCTAAAAGTAGGAAAGCTTTTTGATAAACTGTCAAAGTTTCAGGAAAAATAATGCATACTAGGAGCAACGCGCGACCCCTAAAGGTGACAAATATTTCATTG